GAGCTGGGTCACCTCACCACGCTCGCCCTCCACCCCGCAGGGACCTTCGTCACGTGCTCTCCGCGGTTACTGCCCCACGCCCTCCCGCCTCCCACAGGGGCATCTGCACTCACCCTCCGATCAGCGGCGCCCTGCTCACCACGCTCGGCTGCCCGATGCGCCGAAACGTCTCTCAAGCACCGTCTTCCCTGCGGATCCAAACTCACTCCTGGAGGTGGGGTGAGGGTCGTGCTCACTTGATGAACGAAAAGACACTTTTCACAGGCTGCGCGCAGCTGTGCCCCCCAGCAGCACCCACGTGGGTCTCCCGGCCACAGAGCCAGGCTGTTCCCCGGCGGGAGTGGCGCCCGGTTCTGGACCTGGAGTGAAGGCCCAGTGGACGGCACAAAGCACAGAACAGGCTGGAAGTACTCGTGTGAATACTTTTTAATAAAATTCAAGACAGTTGGGAGAGATACTTAGAATCGAGAGAAAATTCCTTAAAAAATTGAATATTTAAAAAGTTCTATAACAAGAGGTAACCCATTTTTCAAGAAGTAGACTTCATGTACAAAGCACTAACACGAAATTTATTCCTGCATGAGACCACACCTTAATATTCTGTGAACTATGTCAATTACAGACCCATTTATTTTACGTTCTATTAATGTGAATCTTCCTTTGAGACGTGAATAACATCATTGAACAGACAAAACAACGGGCAGAAATGTCTGAGAACACGCGTGCCGCGCTGGGTCGCCAGGGCCGTCAGCGCATGTCACCCTCGGACGTCGCGGGTCTGCGCTCTCCCCGCACACTGGGCCCTACCTGGTTATTTGTCATAGGAGAACACTTGGCCTAGAATTTTTCTCTCGGTTTCTGTAATATAGGAATGGGGTTTTCTTACCCATTAAATGGCCTCCAAAACACTCTGCATCAAATCAAACCAGCTGACGCCAGAAAGCGCCCGCTGCCCTCCGCGGCGAGTGACGCGTGCTCTTTCACGCCATGGTTACCGCTTATTTACGCTGACAGCTTCTCCTTTGCTTCTAGGACACCTATATTAATGTTCCTTTTTTTAAAAACAAAATTTGTTATCATTGTGTCCAACTGGGGGAGGGATGGGCATGAACACGCTTAGGTAGTTCTTTACAAAGAGACAAACAAAATCTGAATTATCCTTCAAAAACAGTAAAAGTGACATCTTCCTTATAATTTGTCTTCTAATATGCATTTTAAAATAACGTAAATATAACACACTCCTCTTAACAAAGCTTGGCCTCCTGGGCTCTGACACGCGGATCTGAGCAACGTTTTGCAGAGGGCCCTCCCGGGCGGCACTGCTGCGGGGAAGGTGGTGCCCCTCGCCAGCCGTAGGTCTCCCGTAGAAAACCACGACTGGAAGCCCAGGGTCAGACGCAGGCCGACAGCTTCTGTCTCTCTTCAAACTGCTTGTCCACCGCCAGGGACAGGGCCTGGAGGAACCCCTCTATGGTGACGGTGGGGGCCTGGGGGGACACACGGGCATCACTGGGGCCCCCATCCTTGGGGACAGCTGGCAGCAACACCCCAGCATGGCGCAGATGGTGTGGCAGAGTCAGCTGCGCAGCTGGGCAGTGAGCACGGTGCCACACACCCAGGGCGCTGCTCAGGCCCACAGCAGGACACGCAGACGCCACGCACTCCTTACTGCAGAAAAGGCACACGAGGCGGGCTGCCTGACACCGTGTCCCGCAGGTGAGCACTGGAGCCAGCCGCCAACACGGCAAGAAGAGAAGCTGTTGAGAACAGACCCTGGAGCCCCCTCAAAGGGCCCGCCCTACGTCTGGGGCTCTGCGGTCCCCAGGACACCTGGCTGCTAACCAGAGAAGCACCGTGGCCCAGCGCCGAGCTGCCACCTCCCTGCAGCTGAAGGCTCCCGCCCACAGCTGTGGCACCTGGTCAGCTGTGGCACCTGGGCGCTGAGTGCCACGCCCAGCAGAGGCTGCAACTGACCAAAGCACAGGTGGACTCTGAACTGAAAGGAACCATTTCAAGACGCGTGTTTCCCCATCCCAACATCAGTGTGTCTGCCCTGCGGACTCTGCGCTGCCGACACTCAGAGCCTCACCTGACCAGGGTGGTGGGGCAGGGGGGGGAGAGGGGGCCTCCTGGGCTGGCGGGTCTGTGGTGGGGCCTGGCGTGTCTGTGGTGGGGCCTGGCGTGGCGGCGAGAGGTGTGGTGCCAGGTCACTGCTGGCTGAGCTCAAACCCAAAGGGCATGAGCCTTTGGCAGCGGCCAGGGAGGGCCTGGGACAGGAGCTGTCACACACCACGGAGGCAGACGTGGGCGTGTTTGCCAGCGGGTGGGCAGGGACACGCAGCACAGCCACCGCCTTGGCCCTACTGCTCAGGGGTTCCTGTCAGCTCCTTCCGCTGCCCAGAACCATCGCCTGACGGACAGGATCAAACAGGCAGCCGCCCCAGCGGTACCAGGTGGGACTCCCAGTGGGCGGAGACCTGTGGACGGTGGGTGGCGGATGCGCAAGGACTCACCTGGACGTACAGTGCGTGAGCCAGGAAGGGCAGCTTCCTCAGGACCCGGCCGCTGAGGCCCTCGCTCTTCCTGTGTGAAGACGACCAGTTCGCGTGTCAGTTTCAGACGGCCACGCGGCTCAGGACTAAGTTTCCTCCTCATCAGGAGCTCTGAGCCTGAAGGCTGGCAGAGGTGCCCCGAGAACACGAGCCCCTGAGCAACCACAGGCACAGCCTGGGCCTCGTAGGCGCCACCACCCCTCGCGGCCCCTGGGCCTTGTCCTCTCCGCACGTCCCTTGGCCCTGCAGCCCCTGCAATGGGGCTTGTCCCCTCTGCCCTCAGCTCCTGCTCCGGGTGGGGCGTCCTCGCCGCCCCGCAGCACCACCGACGCCACCTGTGAGCCCGCTCTGTGGCTGCCGTCCCCGCGCGCAGGGGCTGTAGCGCCTGCCTGCGCACGCCAGGCGTGGGCGTGACGCGTGGAGTGCAGCGCGGTGGGCACGCGGTCAGCCAGCACAGGCTCCCCAGCCAGCCAGGCCGGTTCACGGCTTCGGTTACTGCAGAAGTCTCTGCACTGCTCTCCTCTGTCCCCATCTCAACCAGCCTAAATCTCCTCAACAAAAATCCCACACCTTTCCTCTCAGCTTCAGAATAAATTTGAAACTGTCCAGAAATCCGTGGCCCTCCCCACTACGTTCCCTCCGCGTCCTGCACCAGCCGGTCTCTGCGCTGTCATCAGTCTGCGTGTGGCCCGGGAGCGTTGCCCCTGCACCCTCCTGATTTTGCTCCAGGTGCTCCCAAACTCCACCTTCAAGGCTCTGCTCCGTCCCACCCTCCCTCCGGCATAGGAGCCACTCCCGCTGCCGACTCTGAGGACGGCAGGCCTCCGGCACGTGTGCCAGCGTGCTCACACACACACCCAGACGCACACGCACACACGCACGTCAGCTCCATGGGGTGCTGAGAGCTCACACCCAGAGCCCTCCCTGGGACGGCCCGGTGACTACGGCACAAACATGCGTCAGTCTGCACCTGGAGATGTCACTCAGGAGGAGGCTCAGCTTTGACACGTTGTTCTCGATGAAGCCGATCATCTCCAGCTCGCGGAGGGTCAGCAGCTGCTGGCGAGGGTATATGATCTGGCACTGGGGAGACAGGCGCCGCAGTCACGAGGGTGCAGCGCGGAGCACGAGCACAGTCAGCAAGGGGACCCCTGCGGGCCCCAGCGGACCGTGTCACGTCTGACGGAGACCGGGACCTAACTAGCCCCTACGCACAGCCGCACAAGAGCAGCTCAGCCTCTCCCGGGATTTTGGCTGAAACGTCACCTGACTGCACGTCGGGGCTGGAGGGGACCGAGAGGTACCAAACCAGCCTGTTACTGCGTCAAAACACAGGTGGGCAGAGCTGAGACTCAGAGCCAGGACTTAGCCCGACTTTCAGAGAAGACCTCGGTCTGTCCGTGTTTAAGACGAGGCTGGTTGAGCAGCGTGACACAGCGTGTGACTGACCAGGAACGGGCACCGCGAGTTCACCTGCAGATGAGCCGTCTGAAGTCAGACACCCTCTGCCAGTGGCCTCGCTGAACTGTCACGTCAGATGGGCACCGCGACCATCACTGTGACTGAATTCTAACAAGAACGGTCCTGACTGAGGAACCAGGAGAGAGGAGAAAGAAAATGGCATTCCTTGCACAGTTTGGAGGTCTGGTGAAGGCTGTGGGTAAAACTAAGAAACACGGTTTTTGTTCAGTGTGTTCTGACCTTCCCTCCTGACTTGCTAAGTGACGCTCGGTGGGTTCCCTGGGGACCCTGCCCCCTGCAGCCTCCTGGGCCCTGTCCCTCTCCACCCCTCCAGCAAAACCCGACATCCAGAGGGCACACGTGAAAATGCCGACCGCAGGCTCCTGGCAGAGTGGGGTTCCAGTCACATGCGGACAGCTTTCAAAAGCACACACCCACTACGACACCTGAATGCCTTAATTTTACATCAACTGCCTCGGAGACTCCCCCTGCCCTGCACTCTCAGCTCCCGGAACAAGTCCACACCTCTGAGCTAAAACTTAGAATCTAAAACTCAGGTCCGCAGCACAAGTGCAGAGACGTCGCCCGCGAGGGCGGACGCCACGCCGGGGGCACGGGAGGGCCTCCCACACAGCGACTTTCTCTCCAACAGACACTTTCTCGCGGGATGTGCCGTCACCCACGGGCTCCCTGGCGGCGACACTGCGCTTGGATCTTCCTTCAGATCCTGCCTCGCGAGTCGAACCCCCCCAGAGCCCCGCTCCCTCCCACCCCACAGAACACCCACAGGCCTGGATGGCGCTGGCCCAGCGCCCACCTCTGCGGGTTCATGGCTGAGACCAGCTCTGCTGTCCCCAACCAGGAGAGGCCATGTCACCCTTGTTGAGGACACTGAGGCCACTGCTCTGTGGTATCAGGCAGTGGTGACAGGGCGGGTGGACAATTCACCCCCCGCTGGTGGCAATGACTCCAGGACAATAACCACCGTTTAAACCCCCGTTTGTCAGTTTGCTGGGCTACTAACCAGGGCCCCTAAACTCAAGGCTCTACGTCTGCTCCCACCGGGCGCGTGCGCTCTGGCCTGCTACTCGCCCGCTTCCACAGCACCTGAGGCGCAGGCACAGGTGCGTCTCGGCTGCGCTCCCTGACACAGCGCTCACCGCCGCCGCCAGAACACGTGAAGCAGAGACATGAGCACTTCAGTCAGATGACAGCCCCACGAAGCCCTGCAGGCGGCGTGATCCCGAGAGCTGGGTCGGCTTGTTCTTGCTCTTCCCGGCGAGGACGCCGGCCCAGAGAGGCAGGCCACCTGCCCGACTCAGCAACGTCCTACACATCAGCACCTCAAATAACCAAAAATGATGCCCGCGTGGTGCCAAAAGAGCAAAAGTACTGAATCAGTGGCTGTAATTTGGACTATTAGCTCAACCTGTCAAGTACGACAAAGCTGCAACGTCAGTTTAAAAAGATGACTGGTGCTTATGTGGAAATACCTTATTCTATGCCAGGGCTGGCTCAGTCTAAGCCACCTCAGCTAGTCAAGAACACAAGAAATCTGACCTTCATCAGCTCTTCCAAACACGAGAGGTAGATTTTGAAGATGGCAGCCACGGAGGGCGGCCCGATGTACTGCTTGATGTCGGCCCTGTCCACGAAAGCCACGTCGATCTTCTCAGTGATGTTGGACGTTGTCAGAATCACGACGTTGGAATGCCTGTGGTGGCCGCAAAGCAAGGACCGTGGTCACGTGTGTCCATGGCTCAATTATATCCCACTGTACCTGGGCAGGGGCAGGCAGGGGGGACGGCAGCCAGGCCTGCCCGCAGGACATAAAGGGTCACCCAGCACCGCCCAGCCCACTGTGCCCCACACCAGAGCCACGGCCCAGCACAGGCCTGCAGGCCTTGCCAAGGTCTGGAGACCCCCAAACCTCTGCCCAACCCCCGGACTCTCCTGGCAGCAACAGGATATGAACAGACCCTCCCAGGCCCTTGCCCCAGCTATTCCACTGATTTCCAGAAAGCTCTCCCAGACCTCCACTCGACTCCTTCAGCCTTACAGAAGATCTCACTTTTGTGCAGGGTCTCTGACCGGGCGCCCAGCCTCCCACGGCTCTGGCACCCACCGCTAGCCCTGCCTGGGCACGGCCACAAGACTGACTACCCCATACCTCTCATCGCCCCAGACACACCTGGAGCTGAGTTATTGACACTCGTCATCTGTTCTCCCCTCCAGCTTCTAGACCCCACACAGAGCCACCACTGTCCATCTGCTGGGCAGTGTCCCAGGGCCCAGCACGGCAAGCACAGGTGCTCCTGGGAGCACGTTTGGGGGGCTGTGCAGTGGGCCCGGCAGTGCTGCCCTCCTGGGCCCAGGGGGAGCAGGCCGCTCTGTGGCCGGGGGCAGGGAACCTTGCAGGTACCACTCCACCTTGATGTTGGCGAGGGTGGACAGCCCCTCTGCAAGAATGAGGACAGGGAGCATGGGGGTCCCTCGCAGAAGGAACAGGGTACAGAGGTCGGGTGAGCACACAGGCAGCTCACCCTGGTACCCAGAGGGTGGGGCTGGGGGGCAGAGGCGCTGCCTGTGGGGAAGGCGAGGAGGAGCGGCAGCCAAATCCAGGGGCGAGTGGTGGACAGCCCGGGCCAGAGCGCCCTGCGCCCAGGGCGCCAGAGCGCCCTGCGCCCAGGGCTCCAGCGCAGTCAAACCCAGGGACAGAGGCGAGAGAAACCAGGCAGCTGTGGCTACTACTCTTTTCTGGGCCCTCACAGCCTTGTGACTGGTGGGGAGGAGAGCTCAAGGTGGCCCCCATTTCTGGCTTGGGGGTACGTGGTGGGGCCCCCAGTGGAACGGGGAACCCCGGGAAGTGGGGAGTGTGTCTGACGCTGGGGGAAAGGGTGCGCATATCCCAGGCACATGGCACCGAGAGAAGGCCACACACAGGCCAAGCAGGCCCCCACCCGGGGCAGAGAGGGGACGCCGGCAGCAGAAGCTGAGGAGGAGGAAAGTGAGTGTTCTGTGGACGAGGGCTGTGGCAGGAGCACACGCCAGACCAGGAGGGACCTCCGCTGCTCTGAGGCCTGCCCGCAGGGTGGCAAGGAAGCACAGGGCGGGCAGGGCCCGAGCCCTCCTGCAGCTGGCCCAGGAGACGGCCACGTCTCAGGAAACAGCATCTGCACCAGGAAGCACCAGCGAGGGCACGGCTGACCGTTCCCTGCACAGCTCGTCTACTGCCGGCCACACCCGCAAGCCAGCACTGGGCAACGCACTGGCCCCGTCACCCGGAAGGCAGGAAGGGTACTTTAGAGAAGAAATGTAAGCACCAGGTCGGTGGCGGGTGCTTCTAGAGCGCCACGTGACAGCAGACAGGGACCAGTTTGTACCTTACTTCTGCCTGCGCTGGGTTAGCAGACATCACTCCCTAGAGCTTGGTGACAGGCCCTGAACCTTCACGGTTAGACTGTGGACACGTGTCCAGGCCATGAGGCACTCTACCTGGGGCCAGCAGGCGAGTGATGGGGCTGGGTGTTGGCGCCGACGCCTGGACGCAGCAGTGTGTTATTCTATTTCATGCTTTTCTGTGATGTGTAAAATTTTACCATGCCCAAGTTCTGTTTTACATTTTTAATACTTTTTTTTTGAGATAAAGTCTCGCTCTGTTACCCAGGCTGGAGTGCAGTGGCGTCATCACAGCTCACTGCAGCCTCAAACTCCTGGGCTAAAGAGATCCTCCTGCCTCAGCCTCCCAAGTAGCTGGGACTACAGGTGTGTGTCATTGTGTCTGGCCCATTTTTAATACTTTATTGAATTAAAAAACACTTAACTTTCAAAAAATCCATTTACTACCTGCCGCCTCCCACGCAGACAGACAGAGCCGACACTCGATGTCAAATGCACTTTCAGTTAAACGAGCTGGGTGGGGAGGCCTGGAGTTACACAACAACCCACCATCCCTTGGGAACAAACTTCTCCACCGCTCCTGATTTAACACGTCAAGTCACCGCGCGCCAGAGCGTTACCTTTTAATCTGATCAATCTGGGTAAGGACAGCATTGACCACGCGGATGGCATCTGATGGCTCGGCTCCCGCCCTGCAGGCATTGCGGGAGGCTGTGAGACTCTCCACCTGCAGGGACAGGGACAGAGCAATGGGTCAAAAGGGATGGCGCCTGGCACTTCGTGGGCAGCCGCAGGGACAAGTCCACTGAGCGAGCGAGCGAGCGAGCGCGTGAAGGGCGCAAACACGCCTGGCCCGAGGGCGCAGGGAAGGCCTCGGACGTGCCAGAGCGTGGCCCACAGAGCAGGGGAAGGCCAGAGAGTGGCAGAAGTAGGCCACGTCCCGCAACACAAGAGGCAACTCAGTCTTGAATTTCCTCCAGCCACGGGTTTAGTATCTGAAAATGCCCACCTCATCAATCAGCACAAACACCAGGGCGTCTTTATCATCAATCAAATCCTGGATCTTCTGGAACATCTTGGTCACCAGCTTGCCACTCTGGAACCAAAACACTCTCAGCATCCACTGCAGTGAGCTCGCCACAGGTGCACACAGGCCCACCGGGGCAGCCGCCCCCAGCAGCCCGTCTCCCAACGGCCCCTCAGAAAACATCCTGGGTCCGAGAGCAGCCAGGTCAGCACGGGAGGTCAACCTAAGCGCTCCCTCCCTGCGGAGATCGGCGGCGCCTGCTCTTCCCAGGGCAGCAGAGCGTGGGAGACTGTGCCTCGCTGCCTGGGACGAGACGCGTCACAGGAGCAAGCGTGCACGCTGGCTGCGGTGCACTCCTGGCCTCCAGTGTGCCACATCCTGCCTCACCTCACTGGAAGACATGCCAACACCTGTGTCTGGGCACAGCCCTTGGAGGGAGGGGACACGGCCTTGTCTGGCCCCTCAGTTCACAGGGACACGCGAGCACACAGGCACCGATGGCGTGCTCAGCAGGGCCGGTCCACGTGAGGAGGCCGGGTCTGCGCCCTGAGGCCCAGCGGACATCCTCTGACACCCGTCAGAGGTCTGGGACAGACCAAGGGAGTCCTGCAGGCCTTAGCTCTGGAACCCTCCTCTGACCACAGTCAGCCCATCCTTCCCTTCCCCATTTTGCCTATTTCCCTCTCGGAGAGGAGTGTTTGCCTAACGTACAGGATGCGTATTTTCAGCTACACGGTTGACAATGCAGACGGTCGGAGCATTTAATACTTACTTCTGAAAACCACTTGGAAAAGAGGCTGTGGCTGTTTATTTCTATTAGTTGGCCATACCGGTACCTAAGATGGTAAAAGGGGTTAAGAAATTACTAAGCAGTCCTGTTGCGTCCTCGGTGGCAGCCACTCCTGCTTCCTTGGTGTGACACCTCCCAGCTGCCCAGCATGCTGGTGGTGACTGACTCGTCAGGTCATTACCATCACTGACAAGGAATCAAGGCACTGAGGCCTGTGTGCTAAATAATTATGAAAAACTAAACACAATGCAATCAGTAGTTCTGGACTGTACCAAATTAATTTTTCCATAGCCTTATTTGAGTTAAAAAGTAAAGCCCTCTCATTTTTAAGCTGCTTATAACTTATATTCCTATGTTTAAAAAGTAGTACCAGTACCAAGAAAACAAACAAAACAAAAGAAAAGCATCAAGAGTTTTAGGCAGGAGCCAAACATTCTTTCCTCTTTCCACGAAACCCCAAATTAGGGCACTGTGATTCGTTTTCCAGCGCAGACCTTGGAGCCCTGGAACAGTCAGCAGCCAGAAGTCAACTCTGACACCCCCCACAGGACTGAAATCCAGCAGCACGGACAGAGCTGGGCGCACGCAGCGCGAGACCAAATCAAACAGGAAACGCGGCTGAGGCGAGAGAGGAGCCAACTCCCAGGCCCTCTTTTCAGTTTCTTCCGTGTCAAAAGTCCACGGAAGCAAAACAAGTACTTTCAGAAGGTATCGCTGGCCTCCCATTTAAATAAAGAGAAAAAGACCGTTACTGTTTACAGAAGAGGGAGGGGGACAAGCCAGCGAAACAAACTAGGCTGAATATTAAACAAAATAAATTGTAAAACACCGGCTACTTAACAGAACGAGAAAGAAAGGCTTGCTAAGGATTCTCTATACCATTTCTAAGCCACGAAACGTATTTCCAGATCTTTGTACTGGAAAATGTTATTATATTTCCAGTGTTTCAGGAAACTGATCTTAGAGATCTTTCAAATACAGACGTATTTCGATGTCAAAACAGACGCATTTCGATGTCAAAACAGACGCCAAGTTTCTGAACAGAACATGAAGGGTTGAAATAAAGCAATTTTCCTACGAAAATTATTTACATTTTGAAAGGAAACAAAATAGATACACGAAACTAAATCTCATAGGATTCCCTCTAGTACTGAAGTAACAGGTACCAGATTTATTTTCTGCCTTAAATGATGAGAAAACTAGACAAAATAAATGAAACAACATCCGGTAAGAGTATTGGACAACAGACGGTGAAGGATTGTGACCCCAAGAGAAGGGAAACGGTGAACCCTACAACTGCCCGGCGTTCTGCCTCCCACCACTCCCACCACAGCCCTAGGAGGGAACCCACGCAGGGCACAGCCCCCGGTGCAGGACACAGAGGGCAGAGCTCAGGGAGTCGGGGCGGCTGCAGGCTGCAGAGCAGAATTCTAGGGGAGGAGGAGACAGCCCGGAAGGCGCGCACTGAGGTACGTACAAGCAGGGAAATTCCACGAGGCCAGTAAAGAGGGGCTGCAGATGTGTGAGCCGAAGGGCTCCCGGAGCACACACAGGTCGGGTGAGGTTCAAGCCACAGCCGCCAAGTGGACAGCACTCACTGATCATTCTGCACACAGGACACCCCAGAAGGACCACACTCCAGTATTAAGACAAAACTAACCTAAACCCCTCCCTAACATAGCTTAAAAACAAAGCTCAAAAGGATCACCCCAATCGCAAATAACTGAAATGCCTGTCAGAACAAAATTCAAGTCATCAAAGCAAGACAAGAAAATCCAGACACTTCAAATCACAACGTTCAGGATTAAATCAAAACGACCTGACACGCCCAAAAGCAAAAACCTGTGACCCACAACCAAAGAGAAACCAGTCCAGAGACAGACTCGGAAATGATGAGGATGGAATCAGCAGACACGAACGTTAAAACAGCTATCATAAACGTGTTCAAGGTTTTAACAGGAACACAGCGAGAGAAAGGAAAGCATACAAAGAATCAAACAGAACCTTCAGAGAAGAAAAATACTGTCAGAAATAAAAATTCCACTGGAAGGAAATGAACGCAGATTAGACACTGCAGAAAATCAGTGAACTTGAAGACGTAGCAACAGAAACTGCTCAAAATGAAATACAGAAAAGCACCTCGGTGCCCTGAAGGGCCCAGGCAGGCAGTGTGTCGTGCAAACAGATGGGTTCCCGGATAAAGGGGAGGGGTAAGGAAATTAGCTGCAGAAATGCTGACCACAGAGCTTCCCAATGTGGTGAAAACCGTAAACCCGAATCCACAGTTAGACTCACGTTCCTCCGTCACTGACAACGGCGGACAGAACGCCAGCAAGGCTGTCACGCACCTGGCCTGACGTCACAGATCGCACCCTCCAACGGGAGCAGAAGACGTGTCCTTCAACAGACCACACGCCGGCAGGAAAACGAGACTGAGGCCACAGCCCGAGGCTACGCAGAGCACAGGCGATGACCTGACTCACACCAAGGGGAGGAAACTATCGTTTGCGCACCATGGTCGAGAAAAGTAAAAACGGCTTTCTGTGTTATTAGCCCCGTTGCCACTGCTCTCCTCTCCCCAATCACCAAGCGTTACCTGCTCGAAAGTCTGATGGTCAATTTCTGAGCTAATGCTTTACACAGGGACGTTTTTCCAGTTCCGGGAGGACCTATAACAAGATCCAGGTAAACATGTTTTTAAGTCAGTGCTGTAACAGATCTCTTAAGATAATAGATGCATTATCCACAGGTAATAAAATAAAGAGCAGAGTTAGACCCTATTACTATGTTATCAGTACAAATACCCGTTAACTTACAAAGAAGTCCGCCGGCAGCTTAAATGCAATAAAATATAACCAGTAATATTCTTCTTTTTCACTAATTTGGACTCGACTTGCTTGCCTGGTCTTAGCTTCACCCATGGCCCCAGCACTGCCACTGTTTCCCGGCCGCAGCCCGCAGCGCTCTGAGCAGGCGCCGCATTTTCTAGTCCACGTCTTCACAGACACTTGTCCTCCTCCCCACGTCCTCTGCGAAAGCCACTGACCAAGCCACCTCCCAAAGGTCAAGCATCTTCCCGATAAGCGGAAGCCGGGGGATCTGCCCTCCCCAGCCCAAGCGCCACCTGCTGCCACTGAAGGTGGCTCACATGAGCCAGAGGAGTGGCTGAGGCCGGGGCTCCTCCTGCACGGCTCAGGGCCTCCCAGAAGCCCCCAGGTGACCCGCAGGGAAGATCGCACACACCTCACAGAACAGAGACGTTCAACCCTGATTCTCTGCAAGCATTTTCAATAACTGAAGAGGAAACACATAACCGGTTCCAAACAGAAGGTAACCTGCTTCACTGTAAACACTGCTGCCAGCCTGCTCTGCCCCGCTGCCAGGACACAGGCACTCACTGTCGTCCCAAGATCATGCACAGACCTACACCTCCGCTGGCACACACAGGCCAGCACTGCGCCAGCGTCTCCTCTGCCGTCAACGGGGTGCTCCCTGGAGTCCAGGCAATCCTTTGTCCCCTTTCCACTCAGTGACATCAAAACAAAACCCCAAAAACGCATTATTTCCTTCTGAGAGGAACCAGGCAGAATCTCTTTAAAGTGTGGCCTTTTCAGTTCACTACTCGCAAAATGCAGCTCTGAGCACACTCCAGAGAGCACGAGACAGTCTCTGTCCTCAGGAGTTGCGCCCAGGGGGACCAGGCAGAGCTATGTGAGCACTGCGGTGACGCAGCACCCCCATCCTCAGCTCACTTCCAGGGTTCAGTTACCTGTGGTCAACCACGGCCTCGAAATGGTAAACACAAAATTCCAGAGATAATTCATAAGGATTAAATAACTGTTATTATAGCATATCATTATGATCGTTCCATACTATTATCAGTTATTGTTGTGCACTCTTACTGTGTCTAATTTATAAATTAAACTTTGTCACAGGAACGTCCGTATGGGAAAGAACACACGCAAGGTCGGGATGATCCACGGTTCCAGGTGTCCGTGGAACGTCTCAGAACGTACCCACAGTAAGTGGGGGCCACCGAATGAAGGGCCGAGGCACAAACACCCAAGCGTTGTGAGCAGGTCAGCTTCACAGAGAATATTCTAGCATTACGCTGGAACCTTCAGAACACAGACAGCTGTGACTCCTTGCAGGAGACTAGAGGCACAAGGGCCCGGTGAAAGCCAACGTCACGACTGCGCACCGTCTACCCGCCCCGTCAGCGCCTGCGCGCGTTACCGTGTAGCAGCACTACCCGGTTCCAGGTGATGAGGTTGCTGTCGACGTTCTTGTCTGAAAACAGTAAGGTCGTCATCACATAATCAAGGAGCTGACGGGAGAAAAGAATAAAACAGATTAAAGCAAAAAAGGTGCCAACAGGCAAAGGCCCCAATACATGTGCTGCTGAAGCTCGATCCTAAATGAGAAGGGACAAGAGCAACGCCGCTCTGGAGGGGCCACCACTGCCGTGCTCGGGGAGTACCCACAGGCTCTCGCGTCAGAGGGCAACGGGATCCATGCTGGCTACGAGCATCGCGAACATGAGAGGAGAAAGAAAAGGATCACTTTCGTGTAAAATGCCAACATTACACAAAATCACAAAGGGATTTATCAAGCACCGAGTAAGTCCCCACAGCAGTGGGCAAGTACATGGCCTATTTGCTCAAAAATTCACAACGGCCGCAATGCTGAGGCAGCCTTGGGATGGCTGAGTGACAGTCTCCTAGCACGTCCCGCAGCGTGGAAGGCCCATGGCCTGCCTACTTTCTCAGAGTTCAGGGCCAGACCAGGATTCGAGATAACTGTCCCCACAGTCTGCTCCCTTCTGCCCTTCCCCCCAGGGAGGCGCAGAGACTAGCTGCACTCCGGAGCAGTCCTCATGGGCAGACACCGAGACAGGGGTTCCCAAAGCCCATTTGAAGCGAGGCGCTCCGAGGTGCTCGTGCTTCTTCAAATAACAGGGCGTTTTGGGGAAAAAGCACAGCGACTTACATGTGACTTGACTTGCACGTCATACACGAGGCTGTCCCAAAGCCCGTGGAATTCAGCTGTGAGAGAAAAAAACAGAACCTAATTTTAGGAAGGCAGGTGTTACACCCCTAGTCAGTCTGCCTGAGCCCCGGGCGCACCCCGCTGTTCCACATGCCGTAGACTAAGATCCTGACTACAGGCAAGTGTCAGTTTTTCAAATTTTTCCTCAAATTTTGATTTTTTTTAAATTGAAGATGCAAAATAAATGCTGGTCACATATGATTTTTAACAGATCAACAGAGTAAAAGAACTACTTTTTCCATCTTGTTATGATGCGCGCTTTAACACAAGCACTAACTCCTCCACTCTCCCCACACGATGACTGAATTCACCCTGGACTCCGCCTGTCAGAACCCGATGGCTCCGCCGGCATCCTCAGTTAGCCTCCATCTTGTACCCGTCAGAAGGGACAATACAGTCTTACACTGGAAATCTCTACTGTCCTCTTTTCCAACAAACTTTCCATTTCATAAGAGATAAAACATCCCCAAATCCTACAAAACTAATGGACAGACACATTCCCTCAGTGGACTGACTTTGCAAGCCCCAAGAGCGTGCAGTCCTGACTTCAGCCTCACTCAGCTGCCCCACATTGGGCCACCACGCCCCGTACCTGAAGGCAGAATCCAGTGATTTGCCGCAATTATGTTTTCTGTCTCTTCCTCCAAATTTTCACTGCTGGGGCCATCTTCATTCAGCTGGAAGATGTGAAATGCAATAGTGCATGCAGTCAGATCAATGGGCTGTGAGGAGAGGGAAAAACCAAATAAATCTATGCAAATTTAAATATCTCACTTTCTAATGCCAGTTATACGAATTACATGCTAAAGTCCAAAAACAAAATTAAATGTATGGTATGTTAAAAACTAGTTCTAGATTAGATGAGGTTATTATTTCAGATTTAGGATTAGCCCTTTTTAAAATGCATACCCATCCTTCTCCCTTTGGGCCCTACATTTATCTTTTTTTAAACTTTACTATTTTTCATAATTACAAAGTAACGCATGCTTGCTAAGAAATATGCAAACAATATAGAAGACTATCCCCTAAATCCAACCTCAGAGATGTCATAGTCTGTAGCACACTCGCAGATTAGTGAAAAATTGACTTCCACTACATAGTTTTCTAACTTGTTCCTTTTCACGCTTATTTTAACTTAGAGACGTTTAACATCAGTAGACAGAAATCTATTTCATTCTTTTTAATGGCTACTCATATTTGGTACAGATGTGTGAAATTCCTACGTTCATTAACTAATCTGACTGGCAGAGTTAAAATATTTCAAGTTGTTGACTTATTAACACCATGTAATAAACATTTGTTCATACCTATCTACAAAGCCGCATAATCGTCTGTTAAGATAAACTCCCATAGCGAATCTGTAGTCAAAGAGGGAACACCAGAGCTTTCCCTGGCAGCCCCGACTCCTCCGGCTAGGCTGTGCCCGTTTGTCCTTCCATCAGAAGGTCAGGAAGCTCTTCCCCTGAGACTGGCCAGAGCCACAGTGACGGCATCAGACCTCAGTGTGGATAAGGCTCAGACACGCCACAGACATGAGTCCCAGTATACAAATGTGGAAGTCCACCTCATGAGCACAATTTAGTACCAAGCTTATCTTGCAAATTTGGTTATTAGACAGGAATTGCACAGCTCTAAGTGATATGTCTTCCTTAAAACACGTTTTAGGTCGTTTTTCTTTTTTTTACTTTTTGTTTTTTTTGTGTAGAGATGGGGTCTTGCTATGTTGCCCAGGCTGGTCTTGAGCTGGCCTCATGTGATCCTCCCTCCTTAGCTTCCCAAAGCGCTGGGATTACAGGTGTGAGGCCTTCGGGTGGTTGTTATACTCGGGCTAGAATTGCCCCAGGACATCCATGCTCTCACACAAAGTTCCAAACTCCCACACGTGAACTCAGTAAGACGGCAGGTGGGCAGACAGAAAGTGGGACAAGATGAGGAACTTCTACCAGGCAAGCCTGTCTCCACACCTCTGCAGCCCCTGCCCCTGCAGCTCCTAAGGTCCAAACACACACTGAGCACTCCATGAGTATTTGTTGAGCGGAAGAGTACCAGACAAGGCCCACAGCCTCTTCAGCGCAGCCCACTGTCCTACAGCGCCGTGCCCTAGTTCCTCGGTTCCAGTCTGTCCTGCTCCTACACCGAGAGGCGGTGCAGCGGTCCACATCCCGACAACAAGGCCACTTCTTACGACCAGGGCCTGGCTCCTAACGGATAGCCAGAGCCTGTGCAGTCTCCCAAACCAACACACACGTGAGCCAGTTTCTGACAATCTGCTACCAAAACAGTAAAATACATCCATGACCCTGACTTTGATTCCAACAAAGGGTTAACTGTCACTTAGCCCCACTAGTAACTTACCTGTGGGTCTTTAACCTTTAATTCTGTGTCAACGATCGACACAGACTGCACGTTTCTCGTCAGAAAAGGCTCATCGAACTCAGTCCACGTGTAATCACCGAACACAATATTGTGTCTGTTGAGCAGCTTCCTCACGTTCAGCTTTATGTCTTCTCTTTTTGCAGTGCTAAAAAACAAACAAAAAATGCATAAAACCTCAATTCAAAAGCAAGATTTTGAAACTGTTTTTCAAAAACTCAGACCGCACCTAAAAAAGCGCGGTGGTCGGGAGGACAGTGGAGCTGGCCTGTGGTCAGACCCAGCGCCCGCTCTGCGGCCCGCGCCTCGGCTCCCAGGTGGAAGGGGGTATCGGTTAGGGTTCCTGCTACGCCGGGCTGCTGCAGAGACTAGGTCAGGCAACACATCCAAAGGGTTCAGGGCGATACCCGGCACGCAGTCAACATCTGATGAATGTTGGCCACCGCTACTATTCACGAAAGGATGAAACTCCACAGCTGTGGGGTCGGCCTGGCGTTGGCCTTGGAATACGCCCCTAATACCTGCGGCTCGTGCCGAGAAAGCCTGAAACTTGGAGCCTGGCAACCAGGGCTTCCCTCAGCCCCCCTCGCTGCCGTCCTGATACTCAGCTGCCTCCAGCGCCGCCCGCGTCTGAGGTCACAGCTCTGTGCCTCCCTGCGTGCTGCCCCAGCACGCTGGGCTGATCCACTAGTCACGTTCCAGACTCTAACTCAAAGGCCGCCTCCCTCTGAGCCCTCCTGGACCGGCCCCTCAGAGCCAGGCAGGTGATTCGTGGTCCCGCTGCAATCCTTCCGGCACCCTCCAAGGCAGCAACCGCCGTGCACAGTGTGGCTGTGCGCGGGTGTCTGTCAGCTCTGGGGGTGGCCACGCCTGGGCGTCTCTGGGCCCAGGTACAGGTGTACACGGGCGTCTCCGGCTGTGGAGGCATCGCGTGTGGGTGTCACTGAGCTCTGACGCAGCTACACAGGTGTCTGTGCGCTGGGGCAGGGGTACAGCATAGAGGACCCACAGGAGCCATACCAAAGTCACAAATGAGTGGGATTTGCTCTGAATCGTGAAACCACCAAATCCGTGGGGGCTGGGGGGAAATCGAAGGGTCTGAGAAACTCTGGCTCAAAGTTCAACATCTCAGCTTTTCAGCCCAGGATTTACTCCGGCCCAGTGTGAGCCCTCTGACGGACGGTAAGCGCGGGGTCCCATCGCCCCACGCCGGGCTCGGGTCAGTGTCCCACCCCCGGGGTCCCGCCCGGGCAAGGCCCTGGCAGGGTAGGGACAGGTCTTTGCGCTCGGTCAGCGCGGCCGGGTGGGGCCTCCTCAGGCGGGACCTCAGGCGGGTCAGCGCGGGTCGGGCCGGGTCAGCTGGGGTCAGTTCCGACCGGGTCCGGCCACACGGGCCGGGTCAGTCGGGGTCGGCCGGGGCCGGCCGGCTCACCTGCCGCCGCGCTGGTGCACCTCCACGTGGACCGCCGGCGCCTCGGCCACGCAGGGCAGCGCCTGCTTCAGGTCGCCCACGGCCTCGTCCATGGCGCCGCCGGGAGCCGCGGGGACCCCACCGCAGCGTGGCCGCCGCCGCCTCGCGTCCCGCGCAGCCACCGCCGCCGCCGCCGGCCCCGCCCGCGCTTCGAATTTGCCGCGCGCGGCGCACCGCCCCCTGACCCGGAAGCGCTCGGCGCCCGCCGGGCCACTTCCGGTCGCAGTGCCGCCCGCCTGCTTCCGGCGCTGCCCAGC